GCTCAGGCAGTCTGCCCTGGTTGGGGCCACGGATACCGCAAAGACCCCTCAACTCAGCTAGCCAGGGTGCAAGACTGCACCCACGGCTGAGAAGCCAGGGGTTACGAGTGTGGCCCTGCCGGGACCTCCTCAGCTGCATCCCCCAGAGTAAACACCACAGATCTTCCAGGGCCAGCCGGGCAGGCAGGACAGGAGCCCAGGAGGGCTGTAGTCCAGCTCCCCTCCCTGCTGACCGGGGCCTGACCCAGCCCGGTGACCCGAGCAGAAGGAAACCCAAGCCCTGGCCCCTCCCTCCGGTGGCGTCTGAAGGTCTCAGCGGCCGCAGCCTCCCCAGGGGCCCTGCACCCACAGCCGCCCACCTCAGACCGGAGAGAGAGTGAGGGATGAGCAGAGCCAGGCCCAAGTCCCCACCGGGGTGACAGGGTCACGGTGCCTCACCCTCGACCGCCTCTGCAGACCAGCCCCACCCAGACTTTCCAACCCAGGACAGTTGAACTCAGCCTAAAAAGCACCCGTCCAGAGGGCCTGAGTCCGGCCGTGCTGCCTCCTGCTGCGGAGAGGTGTCCTGCACACCCGTGTGGCAGGGAGAGGCCTGGGCATGTGGGCTGGGGGCCTGAGGGGTCTGGAGATGCTTCCCTGTGGAGACAGGGTTTGCCCAGCCCTCACCTGTCACGCTTCTCGTCACCCCCTCGTGAGGTCCGTGGGAGTGGGTGGGCAGGAGGCCCTGCTGGGCTGGGTCACATGCATGACACACGGCTGTCATCACACTGAGGCACCCGTGAGTCACTGCCCCAGAGCAGGGGCTGCCCCCAGCCTCCCAAACAAAGACCCTTTGTCCCCAGGCCTCTGGTGCCAGGCCCACCTGTGCAGCAGTCAGATGCGCAGGCAGACAGACACGCCGGTGGCTCAGCAGGCACAGGCAGGGCCAGGGCGTGTTCCCACACCCAGACACGCAGCCATTCCAGGGTCAGGCTGAGGGAGACCCCTAGGGGACAGGCCCTGAGGTCACCACAGCTCAGAGTGGCCTGAACTAGGAGTCCAAGGGCAGACTGGCCAAGCCCAGCCCGTGAGCGACGGCCCCAGGACCCAGCGCCAAGCTCTGCCCCCAGCTCCAGCCCCCAGCAGCCTCCAAGCACAGCAGATCCCAGGGCAGCGCGCTGCAGGCAGGAAAGAGCTCCCCCTCAGGACAGTGTGCCGAGCAGCCCCCAGCTGGGTGTGGGAGCCCCCTCCCTGGACCCTTTCACGCAGTTTGGGGAGCCCCAAATGCCGAAGCAGCCGTCACAGCTCCGTGGGCCTCTATGTTGTCCCTGGTGGGACCAAGACTTTGTGGTCTCCTGGACCCCAGGGACCCCGGCCACGCCTGCTCCAGGCACTGAGTGGCCGGCCAAGGGCTCGGGCCCTGGGGCTCTGGACGGCTGCCCTGCATTTGCTCCCACGGGGGCTGTGCTGCTGGCTCTGCAGAGTCCCAGTCCCAGGGCAGAGACCCACACGGACGTGCAGACACGTGGGCACGCACACACCAGCCACAGGGACACACAGTTGTCAACCCGGGGCCAACACAGGGCACCTGGCACATAGATTTTTAAAAAGGAGGCCAGGCAGGTCTGTTTGGATCCCACACGCCCCCCAGATGCCCCCAACATGCCCCCAGGCCACGCTTATTCCAAGGCCTAGATGACAGTGGTCACAACGTGTGGTGTGGTCTGTGGCCTGGGACAGGCCCCAGGAACGCCCTGAGCTTACTCCAGAGAGGCTGGAAGGCAGCCCAGGGGGCCCTGGGAGCGGACACCCTCCCAGCTGCAGGGCAGCAGGGGCAGCAGGAGCAGCAGAGGCGCGGAGAGGGAGGTGAAGTCAGATGCCAAAGCTGGGCCTCCAGTGCCTGCCTGCCCTGGCTGCAGCCCCACAGTCCACACCCAGGTGCCGCCAGGGGCCAGGCTAGGGCAGCCACATCTCCCACGTACCCCAAGAGCGGGGCCCTCGAGGCACCGGGGACAGATGGGCAGTGGTGTCCACACCTGACAGGCAGGGCCGGGGCTGGGCCCAGCCTCCTCCTCACAGCCAGGAGCCCCCAGCCCTGCCTCCCTGGCTCCTGCTGCCCCTCGGGGTGGCCGCCACACCTGGCCCCAAGAGGACTTTCTGGCTGCCCTGAGCTCCCGTCCGCATTTCTGTCCGTTCAAGACCAGGCCAGCACCAGAGCTGGGAATACTGGCTCCAACCCAGCCGAGGCAGCCCTGGGCAGGGTGGGCCTGGCAGGTCCAGCTGGGGCTCTAGGGAAGGGCCGGTCCTATGAGTACAGGAGCTGGAGGGTTGGTGGGGGGAGTGTCCCCACACTGGGCACGGCCCCTCCCAGGATGGCAGGGAGCCCACAGCAGCAGCTTCCGACGCCCCCGGCGCCGGCCAAGCATCAGGTCGGACTGCAGTTCTGGAAAGTCAGCCCCGGTGGAGGTCACGGAGCAGCCGGCAGCTCCCCGCCGCTCAGGGCATGGGGTCAGGGGTCAGGCTGAGGCCTTCCAGCACTGAGCTGGCTGCCTTGGCTCTGCTCCTGCCAGGGTCCCGGAAGCCGCCAGACGCTTGGGACACTCAGTACCCCCGCTCCCAAACCAGGGGGCACAGGCCTGAAGAGATCCATTTCCCTGGGCTCCCCGGGTCCCCCAGCCAGCCCAGGCCCTGAGCAACTGCAGCTCTGGCAGGCCTGCGCCTGCCCCGGGGACCCCACACTCGGGCTGGGTGAGTGACAGGCATCTCCCACCCCATCAAGAGTCCAGGGTCCTCTCTGTGGCAAGCACTGCAGTGTGGGTCCAGCCCAGGAGGCGAGGCTGAGAGAGAATGAAGGGGTGCAGCTGGGCTGGGCCGGAGGACGGAGCCTGGGCTGGGTGGGCTGGGGGCCTGGACCCTCCTGTGAGGCCGCCCACCCCACCCCAACCTGTCCATTCTTCTGCTCCTGGGTGCCCCGTCACAGGGGCTGGAGACAGCACATTCCAGGGGAATTGCGGCTAAGTGGCGGATCACCTCCAACTGGGGCAGAAACCAGGTGGCAGAGGAGGCAGAGGCCAGAGAGGTGGTGCCGGCGCCAGGACGTCCCCCCCATTCACCCTAGCCCCGGCCCCCCTTCATCCTCGCCCACATCCCAGCCCCCAGCCTCCCCCACCAGCCCCCAGCCCCTCCCTCATTCACCCCAGCCCCGGCCCCCACCCCGCCCCCTCCTCCACGTCTCTGTCTCGTCTCTGTCTGGCTCCGCGCGGCCCTGGGTCCCATTTCTGGCGTCTCCGTCTGTCATCGCAGCCCCCACCTCCGGGGCTGGGGACTGGCTGCTGCCGAAGAGCCTAAAGGGCCCCCATTCCCGGATAGTGAGGCCCCAGGCGGTGCTCAGAAGGGCCTGGCTGGGTGCTGCCTGATCTGGGTGCCCATTCTTGCCCAGGGTTGGCCCGCCAGGTGGGGGAGGAGCCACTGAAAACTGGAAGCAAACGGGGGAGTCTGTGGCCCAGGGCTCACGCCAGCCGGGAAGATGCAGGCCACACTCCTGCCCCTGCCTCCTCAGGGTCCCCACACGGCTGTCCCTCTGACCCAGCTCCAGGAGGGCCCGGCACAGCCTCCGTTCCCCGTGTGGATGGGCATCCGCCCGACTCTCTGGAAGGGAGCACTGCCAAGTGCTGTGGCCAAGCAGGGCAGGGGCTGCAGAAGGGAGACCCCCATTCTGGATCCAGGCCCCGGGGCAGGCCGTGCTCACAGGCAGGGAGCAGAGAGGAGCCCCAAGCCGGGGCTTTTGCATCTGGCCTGGTATCCCGCAGCCCCACATCAGGGCCTCAGGACTTGGAAGGTGGTGTGGGAGCTGTTGGGGGCCGCAGGATGGTGCCCCACACCGGCCCTTGCCCGGCTGGACATCCCCAGGTGGTGACCACAGCCTTGGCAAGTGAAGCAGAGACCCTTCCAGACAGCCCCAGCCCCTGACGCCACCCTGGGGGGCCCAGGGAGAGAGGTGGGGGTGGGTCAGCAGCCAAGTCCACCTCGTGCTGATTGGCGCCTGCCCACACACCTCGTCGCCAGGCTGGGCCGTCCTGCCTCACTGCCCAGCAGGCCTTGGGGAGGGCCCCTTCTCTGCCAGCCCCAGGCAGGTTCAGGTCCCAGGGGAGGGGTAACAGCCGTGGGCTCCAGCCTCTTCCAACTTCCCAGACCCCACCAGCCACCAAGGGCCCTGGATGCCAACCAGAGACGGCATCTCCGCAGCGCAGCAGAGGCCCAGACGTCCTGAGGCCGATTTGCACTCTTCGGTCTGGGTTTGCCAGAGCCAAAATGGGGTGGGGGCGGGGCCCAAATCCACAGGACCTGCCAGGGGGCAGCAGCATGGGGATAGCATATGGGACTCATCCCACCCTCCATGAGGCAATTCTGGCCCCTGAAGCCCCCGAGGGGCCCTGGTCGTTAGGGTGCGGCTGTCCCTAGGGCAGGCGAGGAGAAGCCTACTGGTCCCAGCCCTGCTCTACCTGGGTGCCCCAGGCACGGCACCGTCTGGGTGCACCTGAGCCCGCAGGGGTGCCTTTCAGCTTCACACGCCTGCGGCGGCCAGGGCACACAAGCACGCAGTCCCGTGTGTGGCCTGCACGTCCTCTTGCTCTGAACAGAACCCCCCACAGGACGCAGGCCTCCCGAGGGCCCAGAACTGTGCTGCTCCCCAACCTCTGGTGCTTCCAGTGCCCCACGACCTGCTGCCCTCCCCAAAGGCTGGAGAGGCTGTGGGCAGAGCTGAGTGGGGCTGGCATGGACAGTGGTCCCTGTCCTCAGGGTTGGTGTTGCCCCTGCAGGGGCTGCCAGGGCAGAGCCCAGCCTCTGGCCATCACCATAACCCCAGGCCAGACAAGTTGGGCCTGAGGGAGGCTCCACAGCCCGTACTCCAGACTACCAGGCTCTCATGTGAACAGCACCCTTCTGCCCGCACCCATCCCCTGCCGACCTCGGCAGCCTGGCCTCCACCCCCAGTGAAACATCCAGGCAGCACCCCGAGGGCGGCGGGCTCTTTATTGTGGTGACCACAGGCATCAGTGGGAGGGTCCCCGGGATCCGGCGGCAGCTCCTCGCCCAGCCCCCCTTGGCGCCCTCACGTGCCCAGGAGCAGCCCGGAGAAGCTGGAGCCCGCCTGGATGGTGAGGACGGCCCCGGAGCCATTGTCCACAAACACAGAAGCGTACTGTCCAGCCTGTAAGAAGCATGGGGACGTCACAACCGCGGCCACAGCCCAGCCGCCCCGCAGCCGCGCTAGGAGGTGCTGAGGCCCCAGAGGTCTGCACCCTGAGTGCACCCGAGCCCTCCTGCTCACACCAGGCCCGGTCTCACCTGCAGCTGCAGCAGCCCCTGCACCTGTGCCGTGAAGACCCTGCTGTTGCTCTCCAGGCCTGAGACGGCCTCCAGGGACCTGAACACAGCCCCACAGGGCAAGGGGGAGGCGTTGCAGGTCCAGGGGGCCAAGACCCCCCCCCCGGGGCCCAGAGACTTGTGTGGCCCGTGAGCCCCGCCCAAGGGTGGTCCGGACGCTGCCGCCTGAAGCGGGGGTTGAGGTCACTCACATGTGGCGCTGGCACAACGACTCGATGCAGATGAGAACACGCACCACGTCCCGGGCCCGCAGCCGGGCCTTGCCCTGCAGCTCACTGTGGTCTGCGGAGACAGCCCTGGGGAGGGTGGTGCATGGGGGACGGGGTGGGGGCCAGTGGGGAGGGGCTTCAGGGCACACCGCCCAGGACAGGCCCAGGAGTGGCTGCTGGGGCTGGGGGAGGAGAGGCCTGAGGCCGGGTGTGCAGCAGGGACCCCATGCCCAGTCCAAGGCCCCCATGGGGCAGGGGGCAGATCTCTAATGGGACCCGTGCCCGGGGCTGGCGATGCCAGGCGCCCCCAGAAAGCTCAGCCCCAGCCCCGTCACAGCACACGGCACAGCCAGCCCCATCCAGCTCACCCACGTGCAGACTGGCAGAGAACTGGAAGATGCCGGACGCGGGGGCTGTGAACCGACCTGAGGCCAGGCTCAGACCGGAGCCTCGCAGGAAGGCGCCTTGGGCAGCAGGCTGTGAGGGGCAGTGGGTGAGCGGCCAGTGAAGGGCCTGGCCCCCACCCCACAGACCCCGCCTGGGGAAGGTGCCTGCAACCAACAGCCCCTCACTTGGAGCAGGACTCCCCAGGACCCTCACTCTCACCACGGGCACCGACAGGACTGACCCTCGAGTCCACGGGCACCGACAGGACTGACCCTCGAGTCCACGGGCACCGACAGGACTGACCCTCGAGTCCACACCCAGGAGGGTCTCCCCGCCTCCCGGCCACCGGGGACCCATCCTCGGTCTGGGCATAAGGTGTGGTCTGGGACCCCAGGGCCTCCCAACCCTCACCCGAGGCAGCCCCTCGCCCTCCGAGCCCCTCCCAACTCCCAACTCACGTGGGTGCCCCGTGAGTGTCAGACAGTGTGTGTGGTCCCGTCTTGCCTGTGGGGCCCCACCCAGTGCCCCCCTCTGGGCTCCTGGCCCCACTCACAGCCTGGAAACCATGCAGCTCCACCAGTGTCCGCTTGTCCACCCGGCGGGGGCCCTGCAGCCGGCAATGAAAGGCCTCTCCCACCAGCCGCAGGCCCACCCCCTGGGGCAGCAGTGGGTCCAGGAGCCCTGAGAACCGGTGCTCCGTGGCCTCTGTGGGGAGGAGGGCACAGGCCGCCAACAGGGTCAGCGTGGGGCCCAGGCACGTCGGGACTCTGGGCAGTGCGGGGCGGCTGACCTTTCAGCAGCTCCTGAAACTCGCGCAGCAGAGTCTCCAGGGTAACTTCTGCACCTGGAGGTCCTGGGGGGCCGGGGGGCCCAGGAGGTCCTGGGGGACCCAAGAGGTCCCGCTGGGGGAAGACAGAAGAAGAAGGTAAGTGTCCCAGTGGGACCCTGTTCCAGGCTCAGACCCCGCAGCAGCCCGGGCGGGGCTCACCTGCTTCTTGTCCCTGCTTCCGCACCGCTTCCTCAAGGCGCTGTCGTCCGGCCGCCGGACAAAGTTCAGCCATGTCATGTGGGCATCGGAGAGCTCAGGTCCTGAGGCCTGGGATGGCTGAAGAGGCGGGACGGGGCTAGCACACTGAGGCTGCGCCCTGCAGAGAGCTGGGAACCCAGGGCAGCGGGGGCCACTCAGGGCAGACCCAGGGAAGGCATCACCAGCCACAAGAAAGACCCATGGCCGCCCTTGGGGGACTCAGAACCTGGACGTTCCAATGCCAGGGGCACCAGCAGTGCACACACGCAGGACTTCTGTGGACGCAGACAGAGCCTGATGCCCTGAGCCCGACAGGGGCCTGGTCCTGGCTGAGGCAGGGACACGGACGGGACAATGTGGGGAGGACAGGAGAGGGTTTTCCACCGGCCTGAGAGTCCCAGAGACGCCAGGCCAAGAGTGGCTGCTGACAGGGGAGCAGCGGGCACGGACCTTCCCGCCAAGGACCCTCTGCCTTCCAGTTCACCCCAGTCCTCAGGTTCAGGTCCAGGCAGCTGGGGCCAGCCCACCCAGTTCAAGCAAGGGTCAGACAGGGCCTGCCACCCTCTCCAGCCCTCCAATCACCCGCTCTTAAGCCACCCCAGCCCCCATAGTCAGAGGAGATGTGCTAAGGAGGTTTGGGCTGGGGACAGCCTGGCCTGCAGGTGGAAGCGATAGGAAGTGCGCAGCCTGGCCAGGAGAGAGCCCCTTCCCAGAGCAGGGTGAGCCGAGGGACCCTGGCCCGGGACAGAGTCCTGTCCTGAGCTTGGCCTAGCCCGACACAGCGGGGCTGGGTTCTGAGGACAGCCTCAGCCTCCTGACCAGATATGGCAGGTGGGTCCTCCCAGTGGACCAGACAGGCCTCTGCCATGGGGGGTGGAGGACAGGCAGGGTGGGCGTGAACCCATCCCAGACCTGGGCCCACCCTGGGAAAAAACAATCCAAGAGCATTCAAATTCACCTTTACTCCTCCCCCGACTCCTTATCCCGTTCCTCCCCACTGCTCCCCCCTCCTCCCCCCACTCTCCCCCCGACTCCTTACCTCCCTCCTTCCCCCACTCCTCTCCCCTCCTCCCCCTACTCTTCTCCCCACTCCTCCCCAGCCAACTCCACCCCCTACTCCTCCGGCATCCACTATCTGCTTGCTCTCCTGGCATCACCCCCGCAGTGTGATGGAGTGACCTGGTGCCCTGGAGGGGCCTGTGCATCAACCCGTCTGGGGACTGAGGGCCAGAGGCAGCAGAGAGCAGACTGCAGGAGAACCGCCCAACCCTGCAAGCCTGGAGGGCCAGCCTCAGCACACACCTTACAGCCCTCCAGCCGGCACCCTTCCAGGGAGGCCGCCACCCTGCAGGTTCTCTGGAGCAGTGGCCCTGGGCAGTGGGGTGCCCCCTCCCTTCCCCGGTGACTGGCCGGGACTGCTGAAGACCCCCCCACTGCTCCAGCCCTGCCAGCACTGCCAGGCTGGCCCTGGCGCCGGGGACGAGCCCACTCTTCCTGAGCTGGTAGAGCCGGGCCTCAACCCTCCTCAGCCTGCCCATCTGGGAAACGGGGCCTCGGGCTCCAGGGGGACCGCGTGGGCTGAGAGGCAGCCGGGCTGGCTGCGGCAGAGGCGGCCTTGGGAGGAGGGAGGCCAGCATCAAAGGTGTGAGGGCTGGGGGTGGGGGCTGCTCCGGCAACTGTAGGTCCCCTCCCAGTCCTGGGGCCCCCGACGGCAGCGGCAAGGGCTGCCCTCCAAGACCCCTGGAGAGACCCTGAGCAGGAGAGAGGAAGCCCAGAGTTGAGGTGAGGTCAGGACCTTTTCTGTCTTTGTGAGGACGCCTGGCCAGTCTGGGGCCTGAGGACTTAACCTGCAAGGGGGGGTGCTGGCTACATAGGACCCCTAGAAAGCACAAGGGACAGGCTCACCATGGCGTCTCCAGCCGCGGGAGTCATGGGGCGCTGGGCTCCCAGGGGGTCTGGTAAACCATCCAGCAAGCTGCCGGAGCCCCTCCCCACCCCCAAATCAGCAATTAATAGCAACAGGTTCCTCAGGGCGTGGCAGGCCCAGGCTTCAAAGGGTTAACTGTAGCCCCCAACCCCTGCGGGAAGCCCCCCTTCACCCACCCACCCCAGGCCAGCTGGGGGCCAGGTCCGGGCTGCAAAGGGGGAGAGGGCTTCCCAGAGGCCGGCCCGGCTGGGCTGCAGCAGATTCCCAAGGCAGGACCGTGGCCGAGGCCTCAAAAAGGGCAACCCCGAGGCAGAGCCGGCGGGGACAGAGCCTGCTGGGGGATGACGCCCCAGGACCCGAGCTCCGAAGTCGCCCCACAAGGGACTACGTGCGTCCCGGCCGCGTACCTTGGGGGCCTTGGGCAGCCCCTCGCGGGAGGACGCGCTGGCGGTGGCGTTGGGGGGATCCGCGCGCTGGCCAGGCTCCTGCGTCCTCTGCGCCTCCGGCCGGGCCCCGAGGCCCCCCAGGAGGACCGCGACCACGGCCCAGGCCCAGCGCCGCATGGCTCCGTCCCGAGGCGGCTCAGCGCGGCGAGTCCCGGCGCCAGGGCGCAGTCATGGGGGCGGCCGGCGCTCAGAGCCCCCGCGCGGGGGCGAGGCCCAGGGGCGCGCCCGGTCTCCGCCGCTGCATGTCTGCGCGGACCTGCCCGGAACGGCGGCGCGACGGCGCTCAGGTCCCGCTGGGGTCCCGCTCTGGTCCCCGCTCCCAGCCAGTCCTCTCTGGCCTCCTCACACCGCCGTCCAGTAAATCCTCCCCTGGCCTCCTCCTGCCCAGACCTCGCGGGCTTCAAGGGGGGCTCACACTTGGATGATCCGCCAGCCCTCGGGCGCCCCGACGGCCAGGGGCGGAGACGGGGCGGAGACCCCCACTGACCCCTGCCTCTGCTCCTTGCCTCCCCTCCCCAGAACCCGCCCTGCCCCCACTGCTTCCCCAAAGGTCCACCTCATCCTGGGAACCGTGAAGACAGCTGCCTGCCTCCTCGCCCTCCCTCCCAGCTGAGCTCAGCCCGGCTCCCCTCACACCAGCCTCTGCAGCGAGCCACCAGGAGGGCAGCTACCAGCCAGCCAAAGCCCCCCCACGACCTCCTCACCCAGGCCCTCCCGGGTGCCCTGCCCTGACTCACCGCCCCAGCCCAGGGTCCTGGGGGTGCTGGCGGGCCTGGCTGGGGCCCCACTCGGGGGAAAGGTGAGGCCAGATCATGGCGACAGACCCCTTGGGCTCACTGGCCAGGGGAAGGGGGTGGCCAGGTGGGGCTGGAAGACCCTCCAGCCGCTGGTCCTGGCCGAGGCTAACAGTGGCCCCAAAAGAAACAGGAAGGTCAACATGCCGGCCCGGATGCACAGCTCGGAACACTCCAGACCCTCCCCTCTTGCCAGACACGAGGGCAGCCACACCGAGACCCCAGCCCCAGGCCACACCCACAGACAGAGCCACCGGAGACCAGGCTGGGATGGGGATGACGCTTGGGAACCCACCAGGGACCCCGGCTGCCCCCGAACCCTCTGGGCTCTCAGACGCTGCCTGACTGGCATCTCCAGAGCGCACTGTGGAAGCCTCCCAGCCCCGTGTCCGCTGGTGAAGGTGGTGGAGGACTCTGGGGACATGGCACAGCGCCCACACAGTACCAGCCCTGCCGGACGCCCACAGGTGAGCCCTAGATGTGACCTGCATCCAGCATGAGTCGGGAAAGGCAGCCCCAACACCCCTCAATCCAGGCTTGGGGCAAAGGGGAGGGGTGGGCAGGTGCTTTGGCCAAGGAGACCCCCGCCCAGGGCTACCAGACCCCTCCTCACAGGCAGGGCATCCAAATTTTCTGTGTCACTCACTAGCAATGTGCTCCCCTGTGACTCCAGACAGGACAGGCTGGACCTCCAACTCTGCCCTACAGGCAGGAAAACGGGCAGCCCTGGGAGGCTGGACAGAGTGCAGCTGGGCCTAACTGGGAAGTATGTGGCTTCTTGTTCCCATCCCCAGGCACCTTTAAAATGAGCTTAGCCTGGCACCCAGGCAGGAACACTCAGTCCCCACACTCCCTCTAGAAAACGACCAAGAGGACCCCATCCTCTGGGTCACCCACCAAGGCCCCGGGGTACCCTGGACCACAGCCGTGAGCTGCCCCCACAGGGAGGCTCAGGTGCAGCTGCTGGCTCTGCTCACCCCCTGCACCCCCCAACCCAGACACCCTGACACCCCCAGGCCGTGGAAAAATGGCAAAGGACCACAGTGCCCTGCCCGCCCACCTGCTGCCCGCCCGCCCGCTGCCCACCTGCAGGCTGCCCGCCTGCCTGCTGCCCGCCCGCCTGCTGCAGGGAGAGCGGCTCCCTCAGACCCGGAGCGCTCTCGCTCAGGCCGGCCTGGGCATGCGCTCACAGAGAAGCTCGAGGCTGCCAGTGCACACAGAAAACACCTTCTTCCGAGCCCACGTGCTGCACGTGTCTGCAGAACATCAACCTTTCAGGGGCTTTTCTCTCCTCATTAAAAGACTCCACAGTGTGGTCTGCATGGCGAGGGGACACACCGTGCTCCCAGGGGCAGGTCAAGGATGGCCCCCACTGGTGACACCACAAGAACAGAGGGGCCCACAATTCCTCTACGGGAAACAGGGACAGAGGGCCAGACGTGCCTGGCCCAACAGGTCAAACATCATCTCTTATTTTGGGCCAGTGCAGACAACACGCCACGGGCACCGCCTTCACTGCTTGACCAAGGGTCGCTAAAAGTTGAGATTTCAGTCGGGCGCGGTGGCTCACACCTGTAATCCCAGCACTTTGGGAGGCCGAGGCGGGCAGATCACAAGGTCAGGAGTTTGAGACCAGCCTGGCCAATATGGTGAAACCCCGTCTCTACTTAAAATGCAAAAATTAGCTGGGTGTGGTGGTGGGCCCCTGTAATTCCAGCTACTTGGGAGGCTGAGGCAGGAGAATCACTTGAATCCGGGAGGCAGAGGTTGCAGAGAGCCGAGATCACACCACTATACTCCAGCCGGTGTGACAGAGCAAGACACCGTCTCAAAAAAAAAAAAAAAAGTTGAGATTTTAGTCAGGCCTGGTGGCTCACGCCCATGATCCTAACGCTTTGGGAGGCCGAGGCAGGTGGATCCCTTGAGCCCAGGAGGTCAAGGCAAGCCACGCAGGTGCCAAGGCAAGAGACCAAGGGCACAAGCTGTTCCGGTATAATAAAGAAAATATACACAATAAGAATATACTAGAAATAGATTATAGATATGATTACATATACTATTAATCACAGTTGTAGCATTACTCTTTATTCCAATATTATAATAATCTTTGTTCTACAACTATAACCTAGGAAAAACCAGGTTATACAGAGACAGGAGCTGAAGGGACACAGTGAGAAGTGACCAGAGGACAAGAGTGTGAGCCCTGTCACGCCCGGACAGGGCCACTAGAGGGCTCCCTGGTCCAGCGGTAATGCCAGCGCCTGGGAAGACGCCCGCTACTTAGCCAACCTTGGTCTAGCGCTAGTGCCAGTGCCTAGAAAAGGCACCCGTTACTCAGCAGACCAGGAAGGGAGTCTCCCTTTCCCCGGGGGAGTTAGAGAAGACTCTGCTCCACCACCTCTTGTGGAAGACCTGCCATCAGTCAGACCCGCCCGCAGCCATCCGGAGGCCTGACCGTCTCCCTGTGATGCTGTGCTTCCGCGGTCACGCGCCTGGTCTGCTTTCACGTTCTGCCCTGTACATCTGGCTCTGCCTTCTAGATAGCAGTAGCAGAATTAGTGAAAGTACTAAACTCTTTGAAATGCATAGAATAACGGCATAAGCTGTCCTCTCGTTCTGCCTCGGCTGCCAAACAGGGAAGGGCCTCCTGTCCGGTGGACACGTGACTCGCGTGACCTTACCTATCATTGGAGATGGCTCACGCTCCATACCCTGCCCCCTTGTCTTGTATCCAATACATAACAGCGCAGCCAGGCATTCGGGACCACTACCGGTCTCCACGTCTAGGTGGTAGTGGTCCCCCGGGCCCAGTTGTCTTTTCTTCTATCTCTTTGTCTTGTGTTTTTATTTCTATGATCTCTCATCTCCACACACAAGGAGAAAAACCCACACGCCCAGTAGGGCTGGACCCTACAGTTACAGTGAGCCATGATGGCACCATTGCACTCCACACTGGGCAACAGAGCAAGATTCTGTCTCCATTAAAAAAAAAAAAGTTGAGATTTCACATATAGAAAACATTTGAGACAGGATCTGGCTCCCTTGCCCAGGCTGGAGTGTGGTGGCTCCATCATGGCTCACTGTAGCCTCCACCTGCCGGGCTCAGGCAATCCTCCCACCTCAGCCTCCTGAGTAGCTGGGACCAAAGGTGTGCATCACCACAACAGGCAGTGTTTTGTATTTTTTGTGAGATGGGGTCTCACTATGTTGCCCAGGCTGGGCTCAAGAGATCCACCCCTCAGCCTCCCAAAGTGCTGGGACTGTAGGCGGAAGCCGCCGCACCCGGCAGTAACGTGTGTTAAGTAAACCTGTTCGTTAGCATTCCACCTCCCGTGAGCCTCGGGAAACACCAGGCTTCGGAAGTGATGCAGGCAGTCACGGAAGCGCTGGGGATCAGGGCACGGTTGGCATCCAGCACGGGATGGGGACAGAGTCCTGCAGAGGGCTTTACACCCGGCCCCAGCGACGCGATTCCCTACTGGGACCCACCTGCCCTGCAGCTGCCACCCCAGCCAGCAGGTGTGACCCCTGGTCACGGGCCACCCCAGCCCAGAGCACAGACACGGACACACGTCCCGCCCACAGAGACACCAGCAGCACGAAATTCAGAAATAAAGATATAATGAAAGACTTTTTGTTTTCCACAATAGGTTAAATACATACAATTGGTAAATTATAGAGCAATTCTGAATAAACCGATGAAAAAACAAAGAAAGAGGAGCGCGCGCGGGCTGGGCTTGTCTGCCGCCCGCCTCTGGACACGGTGGGTTTCTTGCCGGCGGCCGCGACCCACCTCGACGCGATGCACCTGCGGCACATCCCACCCGGGCGAAGTCACGGAACCGACGGAGAAGGGGGAGACGGCCGGACCCGGGGAGCCCCTGCCGGCTCAGGCGTCGTTCCCGGGCCGGGGTCCCCTCTGCCATCTTCCGTGGAGAGCGAACCCCGGGCCGGAGCCGTTACCTACGGTGAAGACCGGCGCAGGGGGCGCGGGATGGGATGTGAGCGGGGCCCCGAGCGCACGGGGCCAGCCTGCCGGTCGTGGCGGCCTCCCGCAGGGACTCCGGTCCTCCGCCTTCCACCAGCACAGGACGGGCTCTGGGCCACCGGACTTAAGGAATTCGGGGGAGCGGCTCTGCAGGTACCCGAGGCCCCCGCGCCTGCAGCCCCGAGGGGCGCCCAGGAGGCCCCGCCCCACCCCCTCCCCGCCGCCGCCGCGGTCAAGGGCGACACCTTGTGGTCGGAGCGGGCAGGTCCTGGCTCCACGACCGCCGAAGGCCCCGCGCACTTTCTAGAAGGAGCGCGTTTCACCCCGACTGTAAACACGTTCGCAAATGCTGGGACCAAAGCCCATCTCCCTGGATGCTGAGCCACGGCTGTCGCTGGCCCCGCTAGGCCCCGTCACCGCCCGGCCAGCTCCCCCCGCCGGAGCCCGGAGCTCCAGGAGCGCACGCGCAGCGCGCTCAGCAGCGAGTCTGTTTCTAAGTGACCACATCTAACAGAATGAAAAACGGGTTTACTAAAACAGCTCCAAAGACAACACGGAAGAGAAGCTACAAATCCAGCGCACGAGCGGCCCATCCGCGCCAGCCCCAGCGGCGCGAGGCCGGGGCAGGCCTGAGTCTCGGGTCTCCTCCAAAGCCCAGTCACACATTTTGGTGTTCGCTTCCCCTTTCAGGCTTTTAAACGCTCAACCCAGGAGCCTGGTGGGTCCGCCGGTGCCGGGCAGTGTGTCCAGCCTGCCCAGCTCACGCTCTGGCGCGCGGTGCCCTCGCTGGCGCCTTGGGTCTGGGCGCCCGGGCCTCACTCCTGCGCGATGCTCCTCAGCACGTACTTGACCGTGTACGCAAAGGCTGCAAACCCAACTATAACAAACAAGTTCGCCAGGGCGCCGCCCAGGAGTCCGTGGTGCCGGTTGGCCTGCTGGAGCCCCGCGAGGTTCGGGACGGCCCCCGGCGCGTGCCCGTTGAGAAGCTGAATCCCATTCTGTACGAGGTGCGTCTCCCCGTCTGGAACCACGTCTGGCAAGGGAAGAGTCTGGGGTTTGCTACTGAGTTCGTCTTGTGCTTTCTGTTTTTGTTTAATTTCCTAAGAGAGAAACAGCGAGAAACGCAGCTGGTCTCCAACCAGCGCCTCAGCACCAGCACTCCGGTTCTCAGGAGCTCACAGTCCACCACCAAGAACCCAGCCCTAGGCCGTGTCACATCCCGACCCCATCTCACAGGTGAGGGCCCGAGCGTGGCTGGCCTCACTGGCCCTGTGCCTCTTGGCCCCTGCACTCAGGCAGACCAGAGTAAGGCTGAGCCACAGAGGCCAAGACCAGGGAGCACTCCAGTCCCACACGGCAGCTGCTGTGCCTCCCGGCCATCCCCCGACCACCCAGGTGGCCGCTCAGGCCCACGAGTGGAAAAGGCCCAGCTCCCCGCCCACCAGCACAGCTGTCCGCAGGCCACCCCCCAGGGCCCAGGCCTTCTGCCTCCCCCGCCTCGGGGCTCCTGGGGGAGAGGAGCCATACCCTGAGGTCTGCAGCTTCAGGACCCAGATTTTACTCTTTGGAAAGAGGTGAAACAAGTGTTTTAACACAGGGGAAGGCGAAACCCATTTCCGACTTTCTCTTTCTTACCTCCACAACTTCAGGAAATAATTCACAAAAGACTTTATCTTTCAAATTAAACGCTAAACTCTGCGCTGCCAGTTGTCTTTTCTAGGAAGGAAGAGAAGGGAATCAGCCAGAAAACTAATTTCAATTCTTTTAAAATTATAAAAGCAGATGATTTCAAAGTCAAGGGCTGCAGTCTTCACGCTGCAGAAAGCACTTAATTAGTACACTCTTCGCAGCAAACTCAGTCTTATAAAGGCTTCTTAATCTTCTCATCAATTAATGATATCACACTCGATTCCTATTAAAAATAGAAAAATAAACACCAGCTAACAAAAGCACTGTGCCCCCAGCTGAAAAGGCCCCCGCCGTCTGTGCGACTGGCACTGCCTCGGCCCACCCCAAGATCCCGAGGAGGAGCCACTGGCGGGTGTGGATGAGGCTGGAGGTGAAGAAAAGCAAGACCGAGAGACAGCGGGGAACACGAGGCCACAGAGCAGAGCAGTCTCCACCACGATGCCTGGGACAAGGGGTGCCTGGGACAAGGTGGGAACTCCACCCAGCCCCGCCTGCTGAGAAGAAAGGCAGCTGCAACTCAGGAACAGAACACAGCCCCAGACACAAGGCTGATGGCCCACAAGGGAGAGGCGCTCGAAAGCTCACCGTGAAGTCTGACGTCTCTATACTGCCCAGGGTGGGGCCCTTCTCCACCATGAAGCTCAGGAGCCCGGTCAGGATGGTGGAGACAGACCAGGCTGGGTTCCACGTGTCCGGGTGGAAATCCGTGATAGAAAGACACAGCCTGCGAAACAGGGGCCCTGTCAGTGCACACGCCCCACTGCGGCCAGAAAGCCTCCACGGCACCCTCCAGGCACCTTACCTGGTGTTGCACTTAAATCTTCCATTGGGAGTTATCATATAAATACTAGGAGGTTTGAAAGGAAATTCTCTGGGAAAAATTAGTTTTCCATGGTAATAGCCACCTACATGGAAACAAAACAAAGAGCCTTGTCGTCCTCCACAGCAGGGGCTCCTGGAGACCTTGTCCCCATCCCCACACCACCCCGCCCCCCAGCTCAGCTCCTGAGTCCTCACTGCCCTTCCGTGCCGAGCCGGCTCCCAGACTCAGTCCCCCACTGACCTTACTCTCCAGTGCCACTCCTGTCATGACCCACCCACCGTCATGACCACCCAGACCCAATGCCCCTCCCCACCCTACCCGTACCCACATGACTAGACCCAGACCCCCCACTTCCCCGGGAGCTCAAGACCCCCACAGCTACCGCACACCTCTCCCCCTGGAGCGTCCACACACCCACACCAAGAGCAGAGGGTCGGGAGAGGCAGGCAGGCCTCCTTGCAACACCCTCAGCACGTCAGGAGCTCCAGGCCCAGCTGAGGCCGCCCCTCCCAGGACTCAGGTCCAGACCCAGCGACTCTCCAGCATTGTTCGCTTCCCCGACCAACCGCACCCAAAGGCCAGCAAAACCCACCTCAAACACACCACTCTCCACCACACCCCCCTCCAAGTTCTGCCAAATGCCCCCGCCCTGACCTGAACCCCTGGATTCGGGCCTCATCCATGGCTGTTCCCACGTCCTCCCCTCCCAAGCTCTCGAATCCACCCGACCAGGCTTTCTCCCTGGCCTACCAAACCTGACCTGAAGGTCGACCTCAGGGTCACCCACACGTACCCACTGGTGGTGGTGTTTTTTTTTTTTATTTTTTATTTTTTTGAGACGGAGTCTTGCTCTGTCGCCCAGGCTGGGGCGCAGTGACCGGATCTCGGCTCACTGCAAGCTCCGCCTCCCGGGTTTTCCGCCATTCTCCTGCCTCAAGCGCCTCCGGAGTAGCTGGGTACAGGCGCCGCCCACCTCGCCCGCTAGTTTTTGTATTCTTTTTAGTAAAACAGGGTTTCACCGTGTCACGCCAGGATGGTCTTGAGTCTCCTGACCTCGTGACGCCCGTCTCGGCCTTCCCAAAGTGTGGGATATACCAGGTTGAGCCCCGCGCCCGGCCTGTTTTTTTTTTGAGACAGAGTTCTCGCTCTGTACCCAGGCTGGAGTGCAGGGGCCGTAACCTCTGGCGACTCCGGGGTTCAAGCGATTATCCTGCCTCAGGCTGCCTGAGTTAGCTGGAACTACAGGCGCCTGCACCACACCTGGTAATTTTTTTAAAATTTTTAGTAGAGACAGGTTTCCACCGTGTTAGCTCAGGATGGGTCTCTTATCTTCCTGACTCATGATCCGGCCCGCCTCAACCTCCCAAAAGTGTGGGGAGATTTACAAGCGGTGAGCCATCTCGCCCGGCCCCCCCCATGGTTTCTGTACCACCCAACGGCATAGGCTTATCAGG